ACTACTTACTACTACTTACTACTACTTACTACTACTTACTACTACTTGCTACTACTTACTACTACTGCTACTACTACTACTACTAACTACCTACTACCTACTAACTACAACCTACTACCTACTACTACTACTACTACTACTATTACTACTACTGCTGCTGCTACTACTACTACTACTACGACTACGACTACGACTACGACTACTACCACTACTACTACCACTACCACTACCACTACTACCACTACTACTACTACTACGGCTACTACTACTACTACTGCTACTACTACTACTACCAATACCACTGTAATACTACTACTACCACCACAACTGCTACAGCTACTGCTGCTACTACTACTACTACGACTACGACTACGACAACTACTACTACGAACTACGAACTACGAACTACGAACTACCTACTACCTACTACCTACTACCTACTACCTACTACTTACTACTACCTACTAACTACAGTACTACCTACTACCTACTACCTACTACCTACTACTATTATTACTACTACTACTACGACGACGACTACGACTACGACTACGACGACTACCACTACCACTACCACTACCACTACTACCACTACCACTACTACTACTACAGCTACTACTACTACTACTACTCCTACTACTACTACTACTACTACTGCTACTACTACTACTAAGACCAATACCACTATAATACTGCTACTACTACCACCACAACTGCTACACCTACTGCTGCTACTACTACTACCACTACTACTACGACTACGACTACGACGACTACTACTACTACGACTACTTCCACCACCACTACCACTACCAATCCCACTACTAAACCTACTACGAGGACTACTACTACAACTACTACTTCTACTACGGCTAGTACCATTCACTACAACTACCACTAGGACTACGGCTACTACCTACCACGACGAAGACGATGACGACGACGACGACTACTACGACCCGACGACGACGACTACGACGACCTAGGACTATAGGACTACGAGTACGACGACGACGACGAGGAGGAGGAGGAGGACGAGGAGGACGAACACCACCACCACCTATTACCTACTACCTACTACCTACTACTTACTACCTACTGCCTACTGCCTACTGCCTACTGCCTACTACCTACTACCTACCTACTGCCTCTACCCCGTAGTCCTGGTCCTAGTAGTAGTAGTAGTAGTAGCAATAGTAGTAGTAGTAGTAGTGGTGGTGGTGGTGGTGGTAGTAGTAGTGGTAGGCATGGCAGTAGCAGTAGCAGTAGCAGGAGCAGCAGCAGCAGGAGCAGCAGCAGCAGCAGCAATAGCCGCCGCCGCCGCCGGTGGTAGTGGTAGTTTTTGTGGTAGTAGTGGTAGTAGTGGTAGTAGTGGTAGTAGTGGTAGTGGTGGTAGTAGTAGTAGTAGTGGTAGTGGTAGTGGTAGTCGCAGTCGTAGTAGTGGTAGTAGTAGTAGTAGTACTAGTACTAGTACTAGTAAGTAGTTGCAGCAGCAGGAGTGGAAGTAGAAGTAGAAGTAGGAGTAGTAGAAGTCGAAGTAGTAGCAGCAGCAGTGGCCGTAGCAGGAGCAGAAGTAGTCATAGTAGATGTCGTATATAGCACGTAGTATGCAGTATGTAGTATATACAGTAATCGTTGTCCCTGTTGCTGTAGTTGTGGCTGTAGCAAAGAACTAGTTACAGTAGCAGTGAGACTAGTAACTAGTAGTAGTCGTTGACGTGCCAGTAGTGGTCTTCCTCCGAGAAGGAGAGGGTACAAACAAAAACTGGACTGGAGCCCCATCATATGTCTCCACAGGTCCAGCAGGGGCAAAAACAACAACATAAAACAGCAATCACTAGATCATTCTTGCCACGCTATCCTGAGCAGGCCGAAAGATCAAAGCGGTTGCTGTAGTATAAACATCCCCGCCAACAGCCCCGGAGAAGGAGAGGAAGTGGAAGAGGGAAACTCACAAAGACCAACGGCAGGCCTTGTGATTCCGCATCCCAGCTCGTCAATGCATCCGCCTCTAGGCCCTCCATAGGGAGCAAAGCACCGCCGAAAAAATGCACAGCAAAGCTTGAGCGTTCCGCGCCGGACAAATCAAGCAACTGAAGGGTGGATATGTAGATCTTTGACGTGTTTCTCCATGTTTCATGCATCACCCTCCTACAAAAGGTCGCAGCTGGTTCAGATCTGTGGCACTCTCTCTTTCTCACAACCTGGGCTCAGATGCAAAGGCTGGTCGAATTCGATTTCGGGCATCAGACCAGTACTGATCACTAGATTCACTAGGTTCAGGGCCGACACCAAAACCAAAAGAGAACACTGAGAAAAGCAGCAGTGTTGAGTTTTGAGCCCTTCAAGGCGCATGGCACATGGATGTGGATGTCCTTCTTTCTCTCTATAGGCCATGGCCATCCGTGGCTGGCTCCCGACTTCAAAACTCACCCCAACATCGTGCTGCAAGCGAACGTGTGCGCCTGGGGTTTAAACCAAATTCTTCAAGACGGTTGCGGTTGTTACTTACATCTTGGAGTGTGCCTGCCTCCAACCTAATAGCAAACTATTGCCTGCCCGTAAGTTGTTAGAGACAAAGCCTTGCTGTTGAGGTATGAGTCCTCTGTCAGCGTCTTGCACTCGATGACTGGCAAGGCACAACCCAAGAAACCAATTGCAGCGTCTGAAACAAGTGGCACCCTTGAGGGAGCGTGCGAAACCCAACTTGGAGGTGATCAGGTGATTGAAGATTAAAGCGTTCTGAAAACATGCACCTGAGAAGCAGAGGAAAAATAGCAGCACCAAAAAGCGGGGCAGTCATCAAGAGCACTGGGAATGTGGTCAAACCCAAAACGTTCTTACCATCTTGGCGCTGTCACCAACTCTGGGATACGGTGCGTTCGAAGCTGTTCGGAGCAGTGACCCCTGTGGAGCGCTATAACCTCCAGCGGCCCACTGGCAGCAAGCATGACTCATGACCTTGATCTTTCAGGCTTGCAGGATACATGACCTTATCAGCACACAAGCGCAACTGCAGCGGTAAAATGTGGACGGAGGGCTTGAAATGACCTCTGACGTCAGTGATCCATTAGGCAACTGATTTCTCATGGTTCCCTCCGCCCACCTGACATGTTTGAATTTCCGAGATCTCCAGCTCCGCATTCGCCCCCGCTTTCGTGACCCACGAATTACGCAAGTACACGCCCCTGCTCAGGCACATGCAATGTACAATGTAGTGAATTCCTGCAGCCGGACGGCCTCGATGGCATGTTTGGCTGTCCAACAACTTGGGGGGGTTGCACCCTCACTCCTCCTCACACATGCTGACACCCACAGCGGTCGCGCCAGCGGCCGTGGGCCGCTCCCTTCTCCGCCGCTGCCGCCATGACAAGTGCGGCTATTGCGATGCGCCTCACTGTTGAATGTACAGTAGTGTAGTAGTGTAGTTTCAAACAGTTTCAACAAGGCCTCCAACATAAACTATGAATATCTATGAATTATGAATCGCAGTATCCATGTTCCATCCTCAGATTCTCACCTGCCATCCCTCAGTCATCGTGGACCCCCGGAGCCTTGCCACTCTTGACAACCTTCATCAGCTTGTTTTCTAAAGCGGCCAGCTTGTCCGCTTCCTCCTGCACGGCGGGAAAGCTGGCAGGTTCATCCCCACGTCCCACCTGTCATGTATCGATGATCTTGTTGGTAATTTATCCTTTCAGTTGCCCTTCAACTACAACAGTCATTGGGGTCTAGCCTGGCCGCAAAGGCTTGAAAAGGGGGTCGCACCCTTTTAAGCAATAAATCCAAGGATTTGGACCCGGTGAAAAGTTAACAAAGGCGCAGAAAGAATCAAGCAAGATGTTCCCTCCGGCATGGTTCAGTAAAAGCAGAAAGTCTTCCCATGTGCTCCCAACCCTTTAGTGATGACACAGCTTTGTGGGTTAGAGCCGGCGCAGAGCCCATCGGCATCAACCCAAATTCAGCCACCAAACGCGCACCGATCTGGCCAAACCTCCTCGATGTGCTCCTTGGGCCATGGTACGGTTGGAGCACTTGGTCCCCCAAAGCGCTTGATGGTGTCCTCGGATGGGCTAATCGTCAGATGTTCCGGCTAAAGCCACTCCACACCTGGTCTGTTTAACACCTCAAGGCGACGTAGGAGCATGCTTCTGTGGATAAAATGACCTCCAAGCTATGTGATTTTTCTTCTTCTCAACACTCGCCCACCGTGAAGTCCATCGTCCTCTGTGACCACCCTCTCGATGGCGGGCTCTAAGACCTCCGGTCAATGAAATCCAGCCACCTCTAACCAACAAGCTCTTCATGGAACTTGTTAGACTCTTAGAACTGTGAAGCTGGTGATCAACTTCCGACCCTTGGAAGGCTGTCCTCTGGAAATGATGCTTTTCAGTCCGGCCAGATATTCGTTTAAGCATACAACAGGAAAAATCCTAAACAAAAAGAAACACACCCTCGTTAAACTCCAAGGGCTCCTGGTCGAAGCCCGGTCGAAACATGTCGAAACCGCATCGTGCAAAACTGCGAAGTCGAAACCGACCATTTTCACAGGATCTCACCTCACATTTATATACATCGGTTGGGGAGATCAAGATGGTCAAAATTAAGAGAAGTCTCAAAAATGCCTACCTTCACGCGCCTCAAGGCCCAAGGAGTCCAGGAAGGCCATACGCCGGTGCTGGGGGATGTCTTTCAAGGTGGTGCAGGTGATGTTCGCGCGCTTCAGCCGGGCAATGCCCTGGAGATCCAGGGGTCTGGAGGGCCAATGTCAATTGAAGAGATCTGTGGAAGAAAACCTCCAGAAACAAGGGCAAGCTACAGTAGAGTCAGTAGAGTTTTTCGCCACTGCCAGGTGAGTTTTTTTGACACAAAAAGGGTTTTCCAAGAATGCACATCTCGGAAAGAGCACTACACTGTGCCACAGCCGCCACAGTTTGCCAACCTTTTCCTTCATGTTGGCATGGGCAGTATGGTAAGTATGTGCGAACTGCGCTACCAGGAGGTTGGCCAGGAAGATCGCAGACAAGAAAACAAAAATGCAAAGAGCCACAAAGACGATGATCGATGACTCCTTCAACTCCAAATAGTGCTCTTGCGCATACATCCTGCAAATGCAAAATCTGGTAACCCCAGACCACCCTCCTACCACTATTGGACGACTGTCGACTAGAATAGTCCGAATAGTTGTGTGTGTGACCTGCACCTGCTCCTGCTCCTCCTGCTGCTCCTCCTCCTTCTGCTGCTCACAGGTGTATATATATATATATAGTCTTGTTTTGGATTGTTTTGGTGAAATCACTCAGCTGATATGCGCGTCCTCAAGGCCATCAGCGTCAACTCTCTGAGCCAGGCCCCTGCGCCTCCATGTTCGGAAACATGGTAATGCCTGGCACGAGACAGCTGCTAGACTACTTTGCCAAAACATAACGTTGTGCCACAGCCGTCCGAGGAATGAGAACTTTGGTGAATGGCTTTTCCAAGGTGCAAGGTACCAATGGCTACGGTAAAGGCCAAGAGAATGGTGAGAAGGGCCAAAAGGAATAGAGCCATATCTGCGACCAAACAGCTGCACACCAGAACCTGAGCGAAGTGGAAGGAAATGGCCGTCTGACCATCTGACTGTCTGAGGCCCCCAGGGCCCTTGTCACCCAAGCTGAACTTGTCACCCTTGTCGCCCTACGATCAGAGCTCCAGCAGATCCATTGGAATAGCATGGGGTAACGTGCACTGAAACTAAAAAAAACTATATCAGCTATCTTGAGAAAACACTACGCGCACGCAGGGCCGAGACGACTTCTTCTCATTGCTGCTACTTAACCTCTGTGCTCCTAGCTGAGCCAGTAGCTCCTTGCAATAGCTCTCGTCCTATCCATCAGCAAAATTCGTACACACCGCGCGTGCGCCCGGCAGCACACGCCATGATCTTCTCGGAAAAAATGGCCAAGTCCAACAGCTGTGTCCAAAAAATGATCATAGCCAAGAAGGCACCTGATAAAGATTGACAAAACCAATGCAAAGTCTTGGGAGGGGGCCCAAGAGATGTTGACTTCCACAAAAGAGATGCAAGAAATTGCAAAAAGCTCTCTTTGGAAATATTTCTGCTATAAATATATCAATAAATATATATATTATATATGTATGTATATACATATATATATATATAAACATTACATGTGTGTGCATCTCTACTGGACTAGAGTGCTTCCCAGACTGCGCTCTGTGCACTCTTCCTTTTTCCATGGACACCCTCTGAAGTGAAGGTCCCAGGTACGTCGCCATGACGTTGTTGCGTTGGAAACTCACAGCATGTGAGCAGTGTTCATAGTGACACATCCATTCGTGGATGGAGCTTAGACACCCATCTATGGAAACTCGTCTACCAAGACGTATCCATAGCGATGTATCTCCCAACGCACTTTAAAGAAAGAGACCTACTCGCAGAGTGGCAGAAAAAGGAAAATACCAGAGTGGTTCGAAGAAAGAGGCGACTCGACTAGTGAAACCCTGGTCGTGGTGCCAACGATCCGCGTGGCCATCACGGGAAATCGCATCACTCCAATTGCTCTTGGAGGGGATCCACTCAAAGTAAATCCAGTAGCTGAGCGAAAACAAAAGAATATGAATCATGTGGCTCATGTGCTCTAGTCAGGGCTATCAGACCTGCCTTTGATAAGCGCCATCAAGGCGGCTGTATTGTCAATATACCATGTTCCGCGGCGATTACGGAATCGCTCAGGCGTGGTAATCAAAGCGATAAGCACTTGCAAGAGCTCGAGCTGGGCGATCTTTGCATCCCCAGCATAGATGGATGAGGGGAGTTGTGAGACAAAGCCAAGTCTGGTCTCCGTCGAGTCCTGAAAGAAAATCAGAAGAAAACCTCCTGCGCCTTCTCCAGGATGTTGCAGAGCGGCGTCAGACGCAGCCACGAAGCGTTCATGGCGCCGTGGCCATACATCAAGCTCACGCTCTGGGTGAATAGAGACAACGGCTTCAAGGATCTGAAAGCATTGCTCAATGGCAGGAGTCAACTGGTCACCACGTGAAAGTTGTCGTTCCATGATGGCATGAAGGCCGCCACAGCCAATGCGTCCGTATACTCCTTGCTCGAAGAAATTGGCGAGGCCATAGAGCTTGGCTGCGACGCCAGGTTTGAGGGTCTGGGATTTGCGACAGTCTTGAATGATGGTCATCAATTTGGTCTCGCGGCGTTCCTGCGCCCAAAAAGAGACAAAGCCCTGACAATGCTGCAGAGAGGTCATGATCTAGGCCTATAAGAACAAGCCCTTGGTGCTCATGGGCTGCCGTTTCCCGAAGGCCCACTGAGCCGAACCTCGGCTGGATGACCAATCTTGAATGGAAGCATCATCGAAATACAAAGACACCAACACGTAGCAAAGACGGCGACCTAGAGCCTCAACAAGACGACTGTACCGATTGAATGAGGTGACAGCCAGTGGGAGGCCAAACAACAGTCCGGCGTAAACCTGGAAAGCTGGAGCGGCCCTGGTGCCAGAAGGTCACGACGCAGCCTCGCGTCTCGGAGACACCCATAGGGGCTATGGCGGTATGCGTCCGGCCAGTCCTCCCCGCCTGACTCCCAGGCATCAGCCAATCCCTCTTCAAAGCCTCTGTCATCAGGCCGGGAGGCTTCAAAGCGCCAACCGACAAGAAGATCTTCTGCAGGGCAAGCACTTGGCGCTGGATTGAGTCAGGTTGATCCAGCACTTTCTCATGGAGGCGAACACCCGCCTCGAGAGGCACACCCTTGCGCTTCCGAGTGAGTGGCGGGCGCTCATCCGGCACAATTAGGCGAGCAGCAGCTGGCAAGAGCTCATCTTGCTGAGAGACACGAACGGCGAGCCAAGCATCGGCCAAGTGCTGGCCAGCCACAGCCACTGCCTCTTCCCAGGTGGAGAATTCGAAGGCAAAGTCCTCATCGCGCTCATAGCCTCTCTCTCGTCGCCAGACCTCAGCGCGGGCCCCAGCAACGCGGGCCAGACTGTCTTCAGCCCGCCAGCCGCCATAGGACGCTGAGGCCTCAGCAGGCGCTTCCACGGTCTCTGCGACCTGCGCACGGTACGCCATGGCTTGGGCACCCACGGAACTACCCACTATTGTCATCAGACGAAGAAAGTTCGCGGCAGGGCGGGCAAATCTGGAGCAAGGGGAAACAGGTGTCGCACACTCCTTTGATACAACCAAGGCACTGCCGATATGTAGGGTCACCACAGCCACAACATGCCGGAGGAAATTCCGTTTCCCCGTTGAGGATCCCAGCCAACCACGAAGGGCTCAATGTGCACGGAGCTTTGGGTGAAGGGCACCCAAATGACGGGGCAGCCGGTCCGCATCCTGCAAGGGCGCGAGGAAGGGGTTGATCCACAACCCATGCGGGGATCCCAAGAGCCAGTGCCGCATATAATACAAAACTTCGGACTGGAAGGCCTGGAGGGGCAAGAGGGCCAGGTCATCGGGAAGTACGGGGCACGGTAAGGTTGCAAGAGCAGAAGGTCCATGGATGCCTCCAACCTGGCGTGACGATCCCAGGCTTGTTGAGGGGTGAGTCCCGACGGAACAACCGTTCCCCGGTGGTTCCAGATCCCGATCCACGGGAAAAGGTAGCCCCCTCGCCCCTGATCACAACGGGGACAGACGCTCGGCCCGTCCCCCGGCCGAGTGGAAGGAGGCATATGCTCGAACATGACCACCGAGCTCCAAAGCCGCAAGGCACCTGCCCAGCCCCCCCTGGGCCAAAAGCGCATCAACCTGGGGGCGGAATTCGAGGAACGCGGCGGCTGAAAGAACCTCAGTAGCGGTGAACATGGCGACATGCGCACCGACGATATGCTGTGAAGCCATCCACAGCTAACACAGCAAGGGTTCAAGTAGAACAGAAACTCCACTGTCCCACTTTTGGCTTGAGCCAAAATGGACAGTGCCACACTTGTAATGAATACCGTGCACCCAAACCTGCCTAAAGCTCGACACAGTTTTATTATATACGTGTGAGATCGTAAGCCGCAAGCACAGGCTGGATGCAATTGCGGTCGCTCTCAGGCAAAAACACAAACACAAAAGTCGCCGCCCCTATCTGTATCTCCCTCCCTCCAGTGGCAAGGCACAGCCAGAGTACACGTCTTGGTGTTGTCGCCCCTGCGGGCAGTCCATAGCGCTCAGGCAATGAAGGAAAGGCTCCTGGGAGAACATGATGATGAGGAGCCACATCAGGACAAATCGAAGGCACTCATGAAAATTGAGCAAATATGTGGGAACCTCAGTCGTGCGTACTCAGGAGTTGGCCGTGCTCAACATTTGTTGCAATAAATCTCGCTCCCCGTCCTCCTCTCTCACTCTCTCTATCTATCTGTCTATCTATCTATCGATCGATCCATCGATCCATCCATCCATCCGTCTGTCTGCCCGCCAACCCGACAGCCACCATTCAGTTTGTCTGTCTGTCCACCTTGCGTGGCTCATGTCTTTGTTCCGAGGATCCATCAAACAGCCCAAGGATTTGAATGAGCCTGCTCGGACATCCGCCACCAGCTGTCGAATCTCGAGGATTGTCAAGGGGCCCAAGCTGCCCACATAATTCCTGGGAGCCCACAGCAGCGCAGCGTAGCAGGCGTGGCATCGTCTCAAAATGGTAGGATACCCCAACACCCCAGCATACCCCAACCATTGGGCTATTGCGGTTGCTTTGATTTCCGTGCTTTTCTTCAACACCACTTTCAGAGGGAAAATTCTATACATACTTTTGCAAGTTTGGTTCTGGAACAGCGGCTTCAGTGGAGTCACCATCCATCTTCCAGCCCAAGCTGCATGAGGCGACAGCAGAACATGGTCACATTCTCCACCTGAGTCTGTTCGGAGCTGTGCCGAAAGAGGGCGGCCTGACCACGAAAAGACCTCAGTCACGGCCATTGTTTCTAGCTTTCCATGTCAACAAACCGACGAGCAAAACCATGACAAACCGTATCAAGTAACATGGCGAAACGTGATATATGCTTGATCATCTTGATCCAAAGAAACGCCAGAACCAACCCACCCGGAATCTTGGGCACCCTCAATTGAGTGCTTCAAAACGAGTTGAGCTGATCAACTTGTCCGATTTTCCCAAGCAATCGTCGTGCCTTGCTGTTTTCCGCCAAAGCGCAAAAGAGTCAAAAGGAAATAGAGCTTGGAGGCCGTGAATTGATAGCTGGCGAGGCGTTGCCACAGCACGTCCTTGGTAGATGGTCTCAGGCTGAGGAAAACGCGGGTTTCATGAAACCTCGTGAAACTTCACTGGGTGATCCAAAAGGAAAGTGCGGGATGTTAGCTTAGCTGCTTAGCTTGCTGTCTGCTTGTCTGCACCAGTGCGTTGCACCTTTTGTAGCGGGCGACTGTTGTCAAACCACCTGACACAGACCTGGTTGATAGGGGCCATTGCCCAACCCTGGTACCATAAAGATCTTCACGGATCTACCCCCAAACAGCACGGGAATCCTCCGACCCCTTTGCAGCAAACGTGCCACCGATTACTAGGCAAGTCTCGGCAAAAAGGACCACGGTCGGATGCCGGATGATCACCGGGTCACTGTGCTGCACCAAACATGCCTCGCACGCAGCAGAAGCCAGGAATTACCCGCTGATCGGCGGCCAACGGTTGGATAGTGAGGGAAATTGTTAGATATGGTTAGATATATGTTTTTGGTTCAATGCACCGCGTCCGCACCTGCCTCTTGTGGACAACCCACCCAACGAAGGAGATTCCGATCAACAAACCGCCCATTACATCATTACATCCATTACTCATTACTCTACCCCCTTCTCACCTATACAAAGAAACAAAAGATAAACCTTGCGGCAAGATGCCAGATTTGGGATAGATCTGGGCTGATGTCACCGTTCGAGTCTTTCAGCAAGTGCTTCACATAGT